CAATAAGTGCATCGATGATGTCGTCCCCACAGTGACCGTACGTACATACCCCAACCAGAAGCCATGGATTACAGGAAACATCCGCACTGAGCTAAAGGGTAGAGCTGCCGCTTTCAAGGAACGGGACTCTAACCCGGACGCTTATAAGAAATCCCGCTATGACCTCCGACGAACCATCAAACAGGCAAAGAGTCAATACAGGTCTAAGATTGAATCATACTACACTGGCTCTGACGCTCGTCGGATGTGGCAGGGCTTGAAAACTATTACAGACTACAAAGGGAAGCACAGCCGCGAGCTGCCCAGTGACACAAGCCTACCAGACGAGCTAAACCACTTCTATGCTCGCTTCGAGGCAAGCAACACTGAAGCATGCATGAGAGCACCAGCTGTTCCGGATGACTATGTGATCACGCTCTCCGTAGCCGATGTGAGTAAGACTTTTAAGCAGGTCAACATTCACAAGGCCGCAGGGCCAGACGGATTACCAGGACGTGTACTCTGAGCATGTGCTGACCAACTGGCAAGTGTCTTCACTGACATTTTCAACATGTCCCTGACTGAGTCTGTAATACCAACATGTTTCAAGCAGACCACCATAGTCCCCGTGCCCAAGGACTCTAAGATAACCTGCCTAAATGACTACCGACCCGTAGCACTGACGTCTGTAGCCATGAAGTGCTTTGAAAGGCTGGTCATGGCTCACATCAACAGCATTATCCCAGAAACCCTAGACCCACACCAATTTGCATACCGCCCCAACAGATCCACAGATGATGCAATCTCTATCGCACTCCACACTGCCCTTTCCCACCTGGACAAGAGGAACACCTACGTGAGAATGCTATTCATTGACTACAGCTCAGCATTCAACACCATAGTGCCCTCTAAGCTCATCACTAAGCTAAGGATCCTGGGACTAAACACCTCCCTCTGCAACTGGATCCTGGACTTCCTGACGGGCCGCCCCCAGGTGGTAAGGGTAGGTAACAACACATCTGCCACACTGATCCTCAACACGGGGGCCCCTCAGGGGTGCGTGCTCAGTCCCCTCCTGTACTCTCTGTTCACCCATGACTGCATGGCCAGGCACGACTCCAACACCATCATTAAGTTTGCCGACGACACAACAGTGGTAGGCCTGATCACCGACAACGATGAGACAGCCTATAGGGGGGAGGTCAGAGATCTGGCCGTGTGGTGCCAGGACAACAACCTCTCCCTCAACGTGACCAAGACAAAGGAGATGATTGTGGACTACAGGAAAAAAAAGAGGACTGAGCACGCCCCCATTCTCATCGACGGGGCTGTAGTGGAACAGGTTGAGAGCTTCAAGTTCCTTGGTGTCCACATCACCAACGAACTATCATGGTCCAAACACACCAAGACAGTCGTGAAGAGGGCACGACAAAGCCTATTCCCCCTCAGGAGACTAAAAAGATTTGGCATGGGTCCTCAGATCCTCAAAAAATTCTACAGCTGCACCATCGAGAGCATCCTGACTGGTTGCATCACCGCCTGGTATGGCAACTGCTTGGCCTCTGACCGCAAGGCACTACAGAGGGTAGTGCGTACGGCCCAGTACATCACTGGGGCAAAGCTTCCTGCCATCCAGGACCTCTATACCAGGCGGTGTCAGAGGAAGGCCCTCAAAATTGTCAAAGACTCCAGCCACCCTAGTCATAGACTGTTCTCTCTGCTACCGCACGGCAAGCGGTACCGGAGTGCCAAGTCTAGGTCCAAAAGACTTCTCAACAGCTTCTACCCCCAAGCCATAAGACTCCTGAACAGCTAATCATGGCTACCCGGACTATTTGCACTGCCCCCCCACCCCATCCTTTTTACGCTGCTGCTACTCTGTTAAGTATTTATGCATAGTCACTTTAACTCTACCCACATGTACATATTACCTCAACTACCTCAACTAGCCGGTGCCCCCGCACATTGACTCTGCAACGGTACCCCCCTGTATATATAGCCTCCCTACTGTCACTTTATTTTACTTCTGCTCTTTTTTTTCTCAACACTTTTTTTGTTGTTGTTTTATTTTTACTTTTTTGTTTAAAATAAATGCACTGTTGGTTAAGGGCTGTAAGTAAGCATTTCACTGTAATGTCTGCACCTGTTGTATTCGGCGCATGTGACCAATACAATTTGATTTGATTTGATTTGACGAAATACTTTTTTCCCCCACTGTATTTCCCTCATTAAAATGCAAATCAATTTATAACATTTTTGACATGCGTTTTTTTGTGTTTTTTTTTTTACTACCATTAAAATTATAGACTGATCATGTCTTTGTCAGGGGACAAACGTACAAAATTAGCAGGGGATCAAATACCTTTTTCCCTCACTGTATATATATATATTTTTTTTTTCTTTTTGTGTAATCTTTTTTTTAAATTACACATTTTCTTCCACTTTGACATTACAGAGTATTTTTGTGTAGACAAAAAAAATTACTACTAAATCCTTTTTAATCCCACTTTGTAACGCAACAACATGTGAAAAAAGTTCAATGGGGTGCATACTTTCTATAGATACTTATTGACCTCTGAGAATACAGATGTAGGATCTTAATTTGAGCCAGTTTTCTATAGCAGGAAAATAATCTTGCAGCAATAGGAAATGTGAATTATTTTGTGGAGAATAATTAACGGATTTTTTTATAGGAGTTGATTCATTTTTCGTAAGAAAAAATCAAGTCTGAAATTTCAAAGTGGAAATTACAAACTTCAGAAGCCTTTTAAAACCTCAAATACACTACAAGTTTTACATTTCCTGCATTGCATGAAAGTTCTCCTGCAACAGGGGGATCAAATTAAGATCCTACATATGTTCCTCTATGCTGTGAACTGTTGTATTCTATATTGATACTGTTTGAGAGACAGGAAGAACTCACACACAGTTTACTCCTGTGGTGTCAGTAAGATGTTATTGAAGGTTTTCATTGAACTGGTGATGGACTTGATGAATGAGGGGTCAGATGAAATTGTATTTGTCACGTGCCTAATACAACAGCTGTAGTCTTTACCGTGAAATGTTTGCTTATGAGCCCTTTCCAACGATCCAGAGTTAAAAAATGATTATAAAAAGTAAAATATTAACCCAATAGGAATAAGGTGTACCAGTACCAGATCAATGTGCAGGGGCACAAGCTATTTGAGGTAGCTACTGTATGTACATGAGGGCAGGGTAAAGTGACTAGGCATCAGGATAGATAATAACAAGAGTCAAATAAAGAACAGAGTAGCCTGGATTTAGTGCATCTGTGAGAACGATAATTACATTAAGTAACCCATTCACATGGTATGGGAAATAATGCAGGATAATTGATTTAATCAACCAATGTGCTCACGGGATTTTTCAATATCTCAAAGAGTTTTTTTTTAACTGTACATCCAACATTTATCAGGCGCTTTGTTAAAAGAAAGTGGTTGAGATGTGGTACAATTAACGATAATCCTTCCCTTTAATTTGGAGGCAACAATCAGTGTGAGGGTGTGAGGTTGTGAGGGTGAGTGTGAGGGTGTCCTTCTTTTTAGTATGAATATGAGTATTCATAGGAAGTAAGATACTTTGATGACAGGACTTTTGGGTATGTGCCATGTGTAAGTCATTGTAAAGCCTGACTCACTGACACCATACCATCTGTTGATAGTAAGCAGTGATTGTGAATTTCAGCACATTACAAAAGGGTCACAGTACACTTTGAAGTGAACTATAGACGCACTATGACCTTTTTGTTCATTCTGGCAATGTAACTCAGGGCTGCCAACATTTCCTACATGAAAGAAAGGGAGTTGCCCACCCCTAGTCTTAGGAGTTAGTCTAGGGGGTTTCCAACCTCTGGTCTAGTCTTCCTCTATGCCCAGGGAGGAGCTGACTCCCTGTGTGTCACACTACAAAGCTCATTCTCCCTCAGTCCCAGGAGAAACCAAGCCTTGATCTCTTTATCTGGAGCAGAAGAATACTGCAACTTTTGATGAGCGTCATTGAAATGGTTTATGGCTACTGCCTGCAAACACACATGTATCAAACATTCACCTTTCAACTTCTCCTCTGATGCACCTGTCCCAGCAGCTGATGTTTGAGGTTGCAGGAGTCAGAGAGGCGAACACTAACACACCCGGAGACACACAGAGACACACTAACACACCCGGAGACACACAGAGACACACTAACACACCCGGAGACACACAGAGACACACTAACACACCCGGAGACACACAGAGACACACTAACACACCCGGAGACACACAGAGACACACTAACACACCCGGAGACACACAGAGACACACTAACACACTAACACACCCGGAGACACACAGAGACACACTAACACACCCGGAGACACACAGAGACACACTAACACACCCAGAGACACACAGAGACACACTAACACACCCAGAGACACACAGAGACACACTAACACAAGGGGGAACCCGACGAGAGCATGAATTGCAATTTGTGCTTCCATCTCTCCTGTCTGTTTCCTGCAGCGAAGCAAATTAGCAACGTGTCAGGGATGGTTATGGAAACGGGCACCCCACTTTTGAATGGCTATGTAGCGTTAATCAAACCAAGGCCTTTGAACAGACGGTTTGAAATCGGCCCTCTTATCTGTTGATATTGCTTTTTGAGTCAAAGAGTGGCTAGGGAGAGCATAAGCTTGAAGCTCACAGTTTTTGTTTAATGAAAAAAGGGATTTAAAAGATAACCACTTTTCTCCATCCTTTAACATACAGAGGGTGTTTGAATTTCAGTCAATGAGTAGAGTTGCATTCTCTCAGAGTTTCAAAAAGAAAAGCCTTTAGGGTGTCCATATGTCACTCAATCATTTGTTTTGGTTCTTCTGACTTTTTAGTTTTAATTCTTTCGAAAATGAATGATTCATAATGCCTTTATAAGCCCTACATGCTTCACAACTTAATAACCACATTTCATACTGAAGAGATTGTGAAGGTCATATGTAGATTGCTGTGCCAAATGTAACCACAATGTCATATCTCAACAAAGCTGTGCTTTACAAAGGGTGAGCAATGCTATCTTTGATTATAGCAATTGTGAGACTCATGCTCCAGTCCTTTTCTTTGGATCTGACACTGTTTCTGATTCTCTCTCTCTCTCTCTCTCTCTCTCTTTCTCTCCTCTCTTCTCTCTCTCTCTCTGCTCTCTCTCTCTCTCTCTCGCCTCTTCTCTCTCGCTCTCCTCTTCTCTCTCGCTCTCTCTCTCCTCTCTCTCGCTCTCTCTCCTCTCTCTCTCTCTCTCTCTCTCTCTCTCGCTCCAGTCTCTCCTCCGTCTTCCTCTCAGATTCTCGTCCTCTCTCTCTCTCATCCCCTCTCGTCTCGGTCTGTCAGAGCTCTGCTCCTCCCAGACCGTTTCCACTGCAGATGGTTACTCGATCCCCCCGTCTGGCCTGTCAGAGCTGCGCTGGCCGTCCTCCGCGGAGTGCTGGCAGGATGGCATGGCCTGTCTTGGGCCAAGTGCTGGTAGGAGGCTGGACTTGCTGGAACTACTGACCTTCCAGAGCCACCTGGAATGTGGGCGGCCACCCGCTGTCACCTGCGTCTCCTCACTCAACCTCCACCCGGGCCACTGCGGCCCGCAAGATCCCAAAGCCAGGACTTTCCTATTCCAAACAACTTCCGGGTCCAGTGCCCAAGTCATATCCCACCACCGGCCGCGGTGCTGCTGTTTGGGGCCGACCCGGAGTGCGCGGCGGCTGTTCTGCGGAGCGCCCAGGACATGGGGCTGACGCTGCCCACGGTGCACTGGGTGCTGGGCTACCCACTGAGCCCTGACGCCCTGCACTCCATCGGCCTGCCCCTGGGTCTGCTGGCCTACGGTGAGGTGGAGCGCAAGCCGCTGGACTTCTACATCCGCGACGCACTCCAGCTGGTAGGCCGGGCAGTGTCGGCGGCCACGGTGGTGCGTCCAGACCTCGCGCTCATCCAGAACATGGTCAACTGCTACGACAAACCCAACAAGCATGAAGTGCCCTCCTCCGGACAGTACCTCGCCAGGTACGGCTGGTTTACTTTGAACCTTTAACTCACAGTCTCTGGAGGTTTAAAAGAATAGCTTACACACATACACACAGGTCCAACATTATTGGCACCGTTGATAAAGATGAGCAAAAATCTTCACACCCCTTGACTTTTTCCACATATTGATGTGTTACAGCCTGAATTTAAATGGACCACATTTTTAGTTTGTGTTACCCCATAATGTCAAAGTGGAATAATGTATTTTATTTTTTTTACAAATTGATTACAAATGAAAAGCTGAAATGTCTTGAGTCAATAAGTATTCAACCCCTTTGTTATGTCAAGCCTAAATACTGCATTCGGAAAGTATTCAGACCCCTTGACTTTTTCCACATTTTGTTACGTTACAGCCTTATTCTAATATGGATTAAATTGTTTTTTTTTTTTCCCCACATCAATCTACACACAATACCCCATAATGACAAAGCAAAACAGGTTTTCAGAAAATGTTGGAAATGTATACATAAGTATTCAGACCTTTTACTCAGTCCTTTGTTGAAACACCTTTGGCAGTGATTACAGCCTCGAGTCTTCTTGGGTATGACGCTACAAGCTTGGCACACCTGTATTTGGGGAGTTTCTCCCATTCTTCTCTGCAGATCCTCTCAAGCTCTGTCAGGTTGGATGGGGAGCGTCGCTGCACAGCTATTTTCAGGTCTCTCCAGAGATGTTCGATCGGGTTCAAGTCCGGGCTCTGGCTGGGCCATTCAAGGACATTCAGAGACTTGTCCTGAAGCCACTACTGCGTTGTCTTGGCTGTGTGCTTAGGGTCGTTGTCCTGTTGGAAGGTGAACCTTTGCCCCAGTCTGAGGTTCTGAGCGCTCTGAAGCAGGTTTTCATCAAGGACCTCTCTGTACTTTGCTCCGTTCATCTTTCCCTCAATCCTGACTATTCTCCCAGTCCCTGCCACTGAAACACATCTCCACAGCATGATGCTGCCACCACCATGCTTCACCGTATGGATGGTGCCAGGTTTCCTCCAGATGTGACACTTGGTATTCAGGCCAAAGAGTTCAATCTTGGTTTCATCAGACCAGAGAATCTTGTTTCTCATGGTCTGAGAGTCCTTTAGGTGCCTTTTGGCAAACTCCAAGTGGGCTGTCATGTGTATTTTATTGAGGAGTGGCTTCCGTCTGGCCACACTACCATAAAGACCTGATTGGTGGAGTGCTGCAGAGATAGTTGTCCTTCTGGAAGGTTCTCCCATCTCCACAGAGGAACTCTGGAGCTGTCAGAGTGACCATTGGGTTCTTGGTCACCTCCCTGACCAAGGCCCTTCTCCCCCGATTGTTCAGGTTGGCCGGGCGGCCAGCTCTAGTAAGAGTCTTGGTGGTTCCAAACTTCTTCCATTTAAGAATGATGGAGGCCACAGTGTTCTTGGGGACCTTCAATGTTGTAGACATGTTTTGTTACCCTTCCCCAGATCTGTGCCTCGACACAATCCTGTCTCGAAGCTCTACGGACAATTCCTTCGACCTCATGGCTTGGTTTTTACTCTGACATGCACTGTCAACTGTGGGACCTTATATAGACAGGTGTGTGCCTTTCCAAATCATGTCCAAACAATTGAATTTACCACAGTTGGACTCCAATCAAGTTGTAGAAACATCTCAAGGATGATCAATGGAAACAGGATGCACCTGAGCTCAATTTGAGTCTCATAGCAAAGGGTCTGAATACTAAGGTATTTCTGTTTTTAATTTTTAATAAATTTGCAAACATTTCTTAAAACCTGTTTTTATTGTTTTATTTATTTTATTGTCATTATGGGGTATTGTGTGTAGATTGATGAGGACACATATTTTTTAATCCATTTTAGAATAAGGCTGTAACGTAACAAAATGTGAAAAAAGTCAAGGGGTCTGAATACTTTCCGAATGCACTGTAAGTTCAGGAGTAAGATTTTGCTTAACAAGTCACATACAAAACTTGCCTGGAATCACTCTGTGTGCAATAATAGTGTTTAACATGATTTTTGAATGACTACCTCATCTCTGTACCCTACACATACAATTGTCTGTAAGGTCCCTCAGTCGAGCAGTGAATTTCAAACACAGATTCAACCACAAACACCAGAGAGGTTTTCCAATGTCTCGCAAAGAAGGGCACCTATTGGTACTGTAGATGGGTAAAAAAAAAGCAGACTTTGAATATCCCTTTGAGCATGGTGAAGTTATTAATTACACTTTAGATTGTGGATAAATACACCCAGTCACTACAAAGATACAGCCGTCCTTCCTAACTTAGTTGCCGGAGAAGAACGAAACCGCTCAGGGATTTCACCATGAGGCCAATAGTGACTTTAAAACAGCTACAGAGTTTAATGGCTGTGATTGGAGAAAATGAATTGAATGAAAGTAAAACTGCTAAAAATGTGGCAAAGAAATTAACTTTTTGTCCTTAATACAAAGTGTTACGTTTGGGGCAAATCCAATACAACACATTACTAAGTACCACTCTACGTATTTTCAAGCATGGTGGTGGCTGCGTCATGTCATGGGTATGCTTGTCTTCAGCAAGGACTAAGGAGTTTTTTAGGATAAAAAGAAACGGAATGCCTCCCGAGTGGCGCAGCGGTGTAAGGCACTGCATCGCAGTGCTAGAGGCGTCACTACAGATCCAGGTTCGATCCCGGGCTGTATCGCACCCGGCCGTGACCAGGAGACCCATGAGGCGGCGCACAATTGGCCCAGCGTCGACCGGGATAGGGGAGGGTTTGGCCGGCTGGGATGTCCTTGTCCCATTGCGCTCTAGTGACTCCTTGTGGCAGCCGGGCGCATGCACGCTGACTTCGGTCGCCAGCTCTACAGTGTTTCCTCCGACACATTCGTGCGGCTGGCTTCCTGGTTAAGCGAGCAGTGTGTCAAGAAGCAGTGCGGCTTGGCGGGGTCGTGTTTCGGAGGACGCATGGCTCTCGACCTTCACCTCTCCTCAGTCCGTAAGGGAGTTGCAGCGATGGATAACACTTATGGAATGCTTGTAATTATACTTCAGTATACCATAGTAACATCTGACAAAAATATCTAAAAACACTGAAGCAGCAAACTTTGTGAAGACCAATACTCGTGTCATTCTCAAAACATTTGACCACGACTGTACACTGGAGTTGCTTACCAAGACGACAGTGAATGTGGCTGAGTTGCAGTTTTGACTTAAATCTGCATGAAAATCTATGGCAAGACCTGAAAATGGATGTCTAGCAATGATCAACAACCAACTTGACAGAGCTTGAAGAATTTGGAAAATAATCATGTGTAAATATTGCACAATCCAGGTGTGGAAAGCTCTTAGAGACTTACCCAGAAAGACTCACAGCTTGTCACGACTTCCTCCGAAGCTGCCTCCTCTCCTTGTTCGGGCAGGCTTTGGCGTTCATCGTCACCGGCCTTCTAGCCACTGCCGCTCCTCATCTCATCATTCCATTTGTTTTGTCTTGTTTATTGTGGAGGATAGAGAAGCTCGGTGGAGCTCCTTGTATTTGTATCGGCAGGACGTTTCCCCATGTACCTTTTTGTTTCCAGTGCGCCTGTTTTGCGCACTGGAGTGTTTTGACGCATTACTGCGTAACTCTGTATTTCTGAATAAATCCTGTTATTCTGTAATTTACCCTCCTGCGCCTGACTCCTTCGAAATCACTCATCACACAGTTGTAATTGCTGCCAAAGGTGATTCTAACATGTATTGACTCAGGGGGTTGAATACTTATCTAATAAGATATATTAATGTTTTATTTTTCATGAATATTTTACAAATGTTTGTATTTTATGTAGATTGTTGACAAAAAAATAGAATTAAATCCATCTGAATCCCACTTTGTAACTCAACATAATGTGGAAAAAGGTCAAGGGTTGTGAATATTTTCTGAAGGCATACACACACTACATGGCCAAACGTATGTGGAAATCCCTTTAAATTAGTGGATTCTATTTCTGCCACACCTGTTGCTGACAGGTGTATAAAATCGAGCACACAGCCATGCAATCTCCATAGCCCAACATTGGCAGTAGAATGGCCCGTACTGAAGAGCTCAGTGATTCAACGTGACACCGTCATAGGATGCCACCTTTCCAACAAGTCAGTTTGTCAAATTTCTGCCATGCTAGAGATGCCCCGGTCAACTGTAAGTGCTGTTAAATTAGGAACACCTTCCTAATATTGAGTTGACTCCAACGCTTCCCACAGTTGTGTCAAGTTGGTTGGATGTCCTTTGGGTGGTGGACCATTCTTGATACACACAGGAAACTGTTGAGCTTGAAAAACCCAGCATCGTTGCAGTTCTTGACACAAACCGGTGCGCCTGGCACCTACTACCATACCCCGTTCAAAGGCACTTAAATATTTTGTCTTTCCCATTCACCCTCTGAATGGCACACATACACAATACATGTCTTAATTATCTGTAGTCTTAAAAATCCTTCTTTAACCTGACTCCTCCCCTTCATCTACACTAATTGAAGTGGATTTAACAAGTGACATCAATAAGGGATCATAGCTTTCAACTGGATTCACCTGGTCAGTCTATGTAATAAAAAGAGCAAGTGTTCTTAATGTTTTGTATAATCAGTGTACAGAAATGAATACATACACACACACACACACACACACACACACATACATACTGTTGTATTGTATTCTGTTGCATCTCCTTTTAGCCAAGTTGTGTTTGAATAGTGTTTTCAGGTCCATGTTATTATAATGGTCTTGTTCGGTAAGTGCTATAGACAGTTAAGTAGTGGTTCTCTCCCAGTGTCAGTGTTCACAGGAGACTGCAAATAGGCCTATCTCTTGCTGAGGTCAGACTATTCGTCACCCCTAACCACAGAGCAGCTCTCCTAAACACAATGATAGATGAAGCCCCCGGTGTTTGGAGAGAGATTGGAGTGTGTTTATACACACATATACGTACACAGACTCTCTCTCTCTCTCTCTCTCTCTCTCTCTCTCTCTCTCTCTCTCTCTCTCTCTCGCTCTCGCTCTCGCTCTCTCTCTCGCTCTCTCTCGCTCTCTCTCGCTCTCTCTCGCTCTCTCTCTCTCGCTCTCTCTCTCTCTCTCTCTCTCTCTCTCTCGCTCTCGCTCTCTCTCACACACACACACACACATACACAGACAAATACAATACACACACACACACACGCGCACACACACACACATACACTCTCTCTCTCTTTCACATACACAGGCACATGCACACGTATGCACCCAGCTGGAATACAAACATGAAGTGGAGGAGGGTAGAGTTTTAAGCTTTATTCATGAGTTCCAGTCAGTTGCCTCCCCAACAGGGCAGCCAGGCTCCCTTATCAAAAGAGCCCACAGTCCTTTCTGTCTCTCCGTGGCTCAGAGCAGTGCAGAGCGACAGCAGCACACAGCTTTACAACCGCTGTATCTGCCACGGACCAGAGTAACAACAGCTGCGCAACCTAGCCATGCAGCCAGCGTCTCAGCACAAAAACACAATAGAATGAGCTATAATTGGGCCAATTGTAACCAGGCTCAGCTATATCATGTTGTTAAAAACGATACAGCAGAAATGATGCAAGGCAATAGCTTGTGGGTCTGGAATGCTAGCGCACCAGGTCACTGGCATGTTGTATTTATTAATTGGCCGAAAGTGGCAAGTCATTTTGAGCGGTATGCAGTAAGCACTTTGTTTCAGGAGTAGTGTTTGTTGCCTGGGCCTTCAACGCAGAGGATAATTATTACAAATGTTTTGGAAAGCACCCCTTTATAACTATAATATAACTATATTCAGTTCTACCAAGTCATTTAGGAGGGCCATCTAACTAATGGGATTGACTGGGTGCCTAGTGCTGAGTAAAGATCAACGGCGTTTTGCTCAAGAACAACTCCATGATAAAGTGTCATAATCATAATGTCACCTATACACATAATCACAGCTACATAACAGAGCAACTATTAGAGAGAGAAGAGGGCTTTAGGGGAGGAAGGAATGGATCATGAGAGAAATGCACCTCTTTAAGGAATACCTGGGAGAGGATAAAGTAATCCTACCCCCCCTTACCCCCCCCCCAAAAAAAAAAAAACTATTGTAAAGTGGTTGTCCCACTGGCTATCATAAGGTGAATGCACCAATTTGTAAGTCTCTCTGGATAAGAGCGTCTGCTAAATGACAAAAATGTAAATGTAAATGCATGAGGGATGATGAGAGTGGTAGATAGAAACCCAAAGAGATAGGTTGAGGTGGGGGAGGGGGGTGCTTTTAAGTAATTGCAACCTGTGCCTACTGTTAAAGAGGAACAACATAGCCTTTCAATGTAATGATGTAATAGCATCCAGCTCCTTTTACCTTGTGTGGGGTTGAGGAGAAAGAGGGGAGGTGGGGGGCTATAGGCTAAGACAGGGAGAAATTAATGACCTAAAGGTTTGGAGCCAAATTACCTTTTTCTTTTAGATGAAAGGAGTTCAGCGGCGGTCACGTGGCGTCATCTCAGTTATTGATGGCCGCACACATTCATCCTGACTCAACATGACTGTCACAGCAACCCTCAGCCAATGGGATTGGCTGGATCTGCATTTCCTGAAGTGACCCCTTCGCTAAGCTAACCGCTAGCGCTAAGCTAAACCCCCATGCCGTAATTCATTGAAGGACTAACCGCTAGGGGCTAGCATTTCACCATGGATCCGAGGCAGAAATGTATCAACTGGGGCAGGTTTTCACATGGAAATAAACTACTCACTCTCTCGACTAAGCAGAGCCTGGAGTTTACAGTCTGTGAGGAGGCCAAAAAGGTGTCAGCCAGAAAGATAGCCAATCCTAGCCACGGGGAAATGACTAGCTGTCAGTCAGGGTGGTGATGGTAAACACTGTTGGCCTTGCTGCAGGTGCAGGATGGATTAGTTTAGCTTCAGTAGATGCCAATCCTGGTTTTGACATGTTGTGCTACAGTAGCTAAGGTGCCTGTCTGGACTGTGCTGCAGGTCAGCTGTGGAGAGAAGAGGTGTAGGTGGTTACAGTCAGATCACAGTTTGCAGTTCACTGTGCATTTCCTGAAGTGAGTTTGATACTGTACAGTCTAACTCACTATCCCTGTGGCCAGAAGTTAATTGAGTCCATGTGCCCCTCCCCCCTCCACCACACCATATAAATAATCTATGGGAAATGCAATATCTTGGGACTCTCACAAATGCATGCACTAAATAGCTTGAAGGGTAGTGAAGTCCTGTAATCTAATCTGATCTCCTCTGGCCTATAGGTTCCTGTCCAACACGTCGTTCTCAGGGCTGACAGGGCCGGTGTCGGTACAGAGGAACCTATCCCGAGTTCTCACCTCTCAACGCTTCCACATCTGGAGCCTGCAGCGGGACGCGGTGGGCCAGCCCACCTGGGTGACTGTGGGCAGCTGGGAGGGGGGCCGCCTGGAGGTGGAGGACCAGGGCCTGTGGCAAGGGCACAATGGCAGGGGCCACGGCCGGGGGGAAGGCCAGAGGGGGCGGGGCGGGGGCCGGTGGCGGGCCGGCATTCCTGTTGCAGGCAGCCGGGTGCGGGTAGTCACCCTGGTGGAGCACCCCTTCGTATTCACGCGGGAGGTGGATGAGGACGGGAACTGCCCGGCAGGACAGTACTGCCTGGACGCGGGGACAAACAGCTCGGACATGCTGGAGCGCTACTTCAGTGAGCGCGCCTCGGGCAACTCTACCTTCCTGCCCACGGACTACGGCAAGTGTTGTTACGGATACTGCATCGACCTGCTGGAGAAACTGTCAGAGGACATGCGCTTCGAGTACGACCTGTACATCGTGGGTGACGGGAAGTACGGGGCGTCGAAGAGCGGCCGCTGGACTGGGCTGGTGGGTGACCTGCTCAATGGCGTGGCCGACATGGCCGTCACCTCGTTCAGCATTAACTCAGTACGCAGCCGTGTCATCGACTTCACCTCGCCCTTCTTCTCCACCTCGCTGGGCATCCTGGTGCGCAGCAAGGACACAGCGGCGCCGATCGGCGCCTTCATGTGGCCCTTGCACTGGTCTATGTGGGTGGGCATCTTCGTTGCGTTGCATATTACCGCCCTCTTTCTCACCCTCTATGAGTGGAAGAGCCCGTTTGGCATGACGCCACATGGACGCAACCGCCTGCGCGTCTTCTCCTACTCGTCTGCGCTCAACCTGTGCTACGCCATCCTGTTCGGCCGCACGGTCTCCAGCAAGACACCCAAGTGCTGGACGGGTCGGTTTCTGATGAACCTGTGGGCCATCTTCTGCCTGCTGGTGCTGTCCAGCTATACAGCCAACCTGGCCGCAGTCATGGTCGGCGAAAAGACCTTCGAGGAGCTCTCGGGGATCCACGACGCCAAGGTGAGTATTTGTTTTCATTATTAACTCTTCTCTCCCGTCACAATCTCTTTCTTTCTCTCTTTTTCCCTCACCCTCTATCTCTCTAATCTTTCCTCTCTCTCTCCCTTCCTCCTCTGCCTCCCTCCCTTCCACCCCAGCTCCACCACCCATCCCATGGTTTCAGGTTTGGCACGGTGAGGGAGAGCAGCGCTGAGGAGTACATGAAGAAGAGTTTCCCAGAGATGCACGAGTACATGAGGCGCTACAATGAGCCCACCACACCCGATGGAGTGTCCACCCTCAAGTAAGAGATCACAACATCTACAACCCTACTCCTGGAGAGCTACAGGGTGTGCATACTTTTGTTCCAGCCCTACACTCACATACCCGATTCAGCTAATCAAGGTCCTAATGAGCAGCTGCTTAGTAGAATCGGGTGTGTTACTCTAGGAGTGATCCTGTACCTGCAGTATCACTCCTAGAGTAGGATTGTCCATGGCAACCCTGAGCTACATCCATATAATACTATTTAAATGCACTTTAACCTAAGTTTGATTGTATTCATGGGTGTTTATAAGTGTTATTTAAGTTATTTGGCCAGAGGTGGATAAAGTCGAGCACAGAATAGATAGATACTTTCTCTGTCGGCTCTGTCTTCCTCTGTCTTCCTCTGGGGGAAGTGTTTGTTGTGTTCCTCAGAGAAAGGTCTGTCATCAAGGAAGACAGAAGAGAAAGGCAAAGGAGAGGAGAGGCCAGTTGTATTGCTTCAAAACAAGATGAAATATGAAAGGGAGCACACACAAACAAACTGTCTCTCTACGCATGTTGTCTGGCTCTCTAGAGACACAAGGCTGCAAAGTTGAACCTGAGGTGGATGAAGAAGGGTTATAGTTCAATTCAGACCAAGAGAGAGAAAACAGCTGTCATTTGAGCTTGCGTGTCTAGAATGTGGATCCTCTTATTTTATCTTATCTTAGTTTTGTTAGATATTTTGACTAGGTTAGCCAGGAGCCACATATAGACATGTTTGAGTATTGTGTTGCAAAATAACTTAGAAAACAAAGATTGTTGGAGTTTATCCCTTCTGGAATGAGAGTCCACTCTTCTAAGTGGATGGTTTGATGGATGGTTTGATTAAACAGCCAAAGTGCCAGAAAATTGCTAGTAATATCCACTGTCGATTTCTTACCCAAGAGGTCACCCCCTCACAATTGAAGCTGAAGTCAGAGAACTCCAAAGCTCACACAGTTGATAATGTGCAGTTTTTACATTTTGAGCCTCCATTACGATAGTTCCCATGACCCATAATCCTCTCTGGTTCAGATGATGTGCCTAGGCAGGGGTCAGCATCATAATGGAAGTTGAGTGCCTGATTTGGGCACTGTACTCTGCATTCATTCCGGTTTTGTTGGTTGGACAGGCGATTAATATGTGACAAAAAAACATCTATCTAATGGCTTTGCTTTACCCTTCTCCTTCTGTCCAATTTCCCTGGAGGATTGATTCTGAGCCCCCCATTTACACTGAGACATGAAGTATAAACATGATGGTGATGAGGGCCATGTGCTGAATCTGGAATGAGGGAGGACATAGCCTGTTTGATGTGTGGTGCATAGGATTGAGACATGGTCTACTTCAAACTTGGCCTGCTTGGTTTGTGGTTTGCAACGATTAGGACGTGGCCTGTTTAGTGTATAATGTTAGGGTCATGGCCTGTTTGTGACGTGGCCTGTTTAGTGTATAACGTTAGGGTCATGGCCTGTTTGGGACGTGGCCTGTTTAGTGTATAACGTTAGGGTCATGGCCTGTTTGTGACGTGGCCTGTTTAGTGTATAACGTTAGGGTCATGGCCTGTTTGTGACGTGGCCTGTTTGGTGTATAACGTTAGGGTCATGGCCTGTTTGTGACGTGGCCTGTTTAGTGTATAACGTTAGGGTCATGGCCTGTTTGGGACGTGGCCTGTTTAGTGTATAACGTTAGGGTCATGGCCTGTTTGGGACATGGCCTGTTTAGTGTATAACGTTAGGGTCATGGCCTGTTTGGGACGTGGCCTGTTTAGTGTATAACGTTAGGGTCATGGCCTGTTTGGGACGTGGCCTGTTTGGTGTATAACGTTAGGGTCATGGCCTGTTTGGGACGTGGCCTGTTTAGTGTATAACGTTAGGGTCATGGCCTGTTTGTGACGTGGCCTGTTTGGTGTATAACGTTAGGGTCATGGCCTGTTTGGGACATGGCCTGTTTAGTGTATAACGTTAGGGTCATGGCCTGTTTGTGACGTGGCCTGTTTAGTGTATAACGTTAGGGTCATGGCCTGTTTGTGACGTGGCCTGTTTAGTGTATAACGTTAGGGTCATGGCCTGTTTGGGACGTGACCAGTTTGGTGTATAATGTTAGGGTCATGACCTGTTTGGGGCGTGGCCTATTTGGTGTGTTGCGATTGGGGCGTGGCCTGTTTGGTGTGTTGTGATTGGGACGTGGCCTATTTGGTGTGTTGTGATTGGGATGTGGCCTATTTGGTGTGTTGTGATTGGGACATGGCCTATTTGGTGTGTGGTGATTGGGACGTGTATAAAGACATGGCCTGTTTGGGAAATTACCTATTTAGTATGTAGGCCTAGCGTTTGGGACATAGTTTGTTTTGTGGTGTGTGGCGGGGGTGTTCCATTGTCCCCTGTGCTCTGTCTATAACCCCTTCTCCCTGTGTGTTGAAGGGTAGATCCCCCTCAGCTTGATGCCTTCATCATGGACAAGGCCCTGCTGGACTACGAGGTGTCCATTGATGCAGACTGCAAGCTGCTCACCGTGGGCAAGCCTTTCGCCATCGAAGGTAAGAAACCCCCCCGTCCACCCTGACACTGTATTGTTTTGTTAGCCCTCAGACTTGACGGTTATAATAAAATTAAATCATATCAAACTGTATTGGTCACATACACATATTTAGCAGATGTTATTGCTGGTGTAGCGAAACGCTGTAGAGCCATTATCGTCCGTCCGTCCGTCTGTCCGTCTGTTCTGTCTGTCTGTCTGTTCTGTCTGTCTGTTCTGTCTGTCTGTCTGTCTGTCTGTCTGTCTGTCTGTCTGTCTGTCTGTCTGTCGGTCGGTCGGTCTGTCTGTCTGTCTGTCTGTCTGTCTGTCTGTCTGTCTGTCTGTCTGTCTGTCTGTCTGTCTGTCTGTCTGTCTGTCTGTCTGTCTGTCTGTCTGTCTGTCTGTCTGTCTGTCGGTCGGTCGGTGTCGGGTCGGTCGGTCGGTCGGGTCGGTCGGTCGGTCGGGTCGTGTCGGTCTGTCGGTCTGTCGGTCTGTCGGTCTGTCGGTCTGTCGGTCTGTCGGTCGTCGGTCGGTCGGTCGGTCGGTCGGTCGGTCGGTGTCGGTCGGTCGGTCGGTCGGTCGGTCGGTCGGTCGTCGGTCGGGTCGGTCGGTCTGTCTGTCTGTCTGTCTGTCTGTCTGTTCTGTCTGTCTGTCTGTCTGTCTGTCTGTCTGTCTGTCTGTCTGTCTGTCTGTCTGTCTGTCTGTCTGTCTGTCTGTCTGTCTGTCTGTCTGTCTGTCTGTCTGTCTGTCTGTCTGTCTGTCTGTCTGTCTGTCTGTCTGTCTGTCTGTCTGTCTGTCTGTCTGTCTGTGCATGTATGTGTGCACATCTGTGTGTGTGTGTGTATGCTTTCTTAGGTAGGCATGCACTTGCTTGAATGTGTGTTTGGATTCCCCGTCCTCTCCCTGTTTTCTAGTTCATCTCAAATTCACATCCTTTTATTTGAATATGTAATTATTCAAATATATTCATTGCTATTTTGTCTGAACCAACATCACACCCATGCTTCTGAGAGGCTGTGCATGATTATGGCGAATAAGTGGAAACAGCCTCCCGCGGGTCGCCTTTCTGTGTTTGTCATAATGCATTGCTGCTCCCACATTGTCAACGCATTAAAGGTTCACTTTTCACTGTCTATCTTTTTTAGAGCAGTTACAGTAGGTGTTATGGGTTCTGGTGACCCACAGGGTGTGCAGGAAACAGTGTGGAACGGGGACATACTATCTAAACGTCCAATAACAACGTTTTATTTTGTGTGCCTTAATAACACAACCCTAATTCAGTTCACCAAGGTCTTGATGAGTACTTGATAGCAGATGTATTGTGCAGGGATAGAACAAAAGCCAGCACGCCCTGTTCGTCTCTTGGACCAGGATTGAAGAGCACTGTTTCAGATAAGTATCCCTCCAGACCCGGCGCCAGGATAAAATGGGGGCAGCTGAAATCGGTGAGGGGGCACAATTTTGGGGAGTTATTGCGTTGGAATTCTGCTAATATCACGCTATACCACAATAAACATAAAGTTAAAATGCCGAGACTGCAAGACCATTGAGTGCTTTTGAAGTTAAATCTGTAGCCCGCTGCGCTGTATCAGTACAATGGACAGCGCCCTACACACTAAAGCCATTTTGGCAATGAATATAAGCTACAAGATAGATAGGGTAATTCACCTATTACAAACAGCCTATGTCAATGCAGCCGTACACACAGCTGTCTTACCCAAATAATGCAAACTAAATGCTGAAAGTAGTAGCCTAGTTATTCATGCAAAACAAAAATATTAAATAGAAATTTGGCTTAGAATATCGACACAACTGCGAATGCAAACGAATGAATGAGAACAGAACAAAATAGCAGTAGGCATACCATAGGCCTACAATCAAAATATCAGATTGATAAAGGCATGATACCAGCTATATTTACATAGCCTACTACAGTACAGTGAGATGCAGCCATGCTCAGCTGTCTTGCCAAATAAATAGGCATATAGGCCCGCTTCAAACATAGAAAAGCATGCAGCTCATTAGTTCAGCAACACGTTGCGATATGGCACAATACACTTCTGTGGATCAAATTCGACCCAGCCACATAATCACTTAATCAATGCCGGCCTAACGTAAACACATTTCCAATACGTATATTTCTATTTACAACCATGAAAAGCAATAGGCTACCATAGAAATAGAATGTAGGTTATCTATTTATATGATGAAACATACGGATATGTAGCTATACCCAGGAGCGTCATTTGGGTTCTTGCATTGGAATTATATTAAATTTTGCTCATATCACACTGTACCACAAAGAACATAAAAGTTTAAATGCCGAGACCATTGAGTGCTTTTGACCAAGAAGTGACTCATCTGCAGTAACCGAGTATTCCAGCCACTCTCTTCCTATGAACCAGTTGCTATTAAATGAACGATTCTGGACAGAAAACCTGCGACAAGGGTAGGATTCAATAGGCTAATCTGGGCTGGCTACTCTGTTCCAAGATCGTCAGGA